AAACGTCTAATTTGAAGCAGTGCTGTATTCAACATACCACGTGACACACAAAAATCAATGTTTATCTGTGCTTTGTAATATTTACTTTTAAATTAACAAATTGAGTAATGTATAGTTCTAAAATATGAATTATAACCTACAGTTTTATACCAAACTTATTGACATAAATTCATGAAATAGTACTTCAATAAAACAAAGAGATGACATGACCTTTCACCTGTGGCCTGTCTCAAAAGGGTTAAGACATATGATTTATATCCTATAAATATGATTTTGCCACATCAATGAAATTCTAGATTATGCTTCTTCTGTCAATAATGACACAAAACAGTTTTTACACTGATAAAAATCATCACATGAAGATATCGTTTGTTTACCATTCTTTGATTTATTTATGTCTGTTGTAACCTTCTGCAGATTTACAAAATCTGTTACAATCAGAACTGTTGGTTGACCTTTTGAGCATTCATTACTATAACAAACATTATAATTTTCAGAATAATGTTCTTTATATAAATGCCCAAATGCCTTGTCACTTTCTGAACAGTAATAATTTACCCCATGAAAACCTTTTATTGATATTATAACATTGGAATGATGATCATAGTACCATAGGTGTATTTTGTTTGGGCATGATGGACCATTATATATTACACAGTTGAAATTTTCCATTGATACTACATGTACTTGAACATTTAGATGACATTCAAGTTTAGACATATCTTCTATATCGACAAGGTTCTTCTGGAATATTAGACGAAGTATGCAAGTCTTTAGATATATGTGTGAATAGTGGTCATTGTTGATTTCTAATACTATTATATTTTGGGTAATTTCTGAATAATGCTAATGCTATTACTATAGCCTTAGCACAGCAAAGGTCATAGTTATTATTTATAGCAGCAACTGATCATTTTTTAAGTTGATCAAGACTAATGTTTGATAACTTATAATTATTGGTGCTGCCTACTGGTAATTCCAATGTAGCAACTTCAATTTAACCTTTGTATTTCTTAAACATCTTCGTCCAAATTATATGTGTGTGATTTACTAATAGTATCTTAGTGTCAGACAGTCTGAAAGTTCTGTGCAGTTTGGTATTTTAACTAATAGTAAAATTAAACAATAAGTCATTCATTTATTATATTTAGTTGTAGGACAATAAAAGTAAATTATTGTTTATAATAACTGTTTCATTCAAATAATATGTTTTACTTGTGAAAGCAAATCATTAATTGTCCTACAGAACATTGTCTGAAAGAAACTATGATCAGATTTGTGTACACAAAAAGTTTGAAGGTGCGTTTGCCAGTGATCAATTCCTAATAGCATTAAACAGTTTTCAAAGTTTCATTTAATTTTAATCTTCTATTGAAAATGGATTGATAAACAGTAAGTCATTCATATTATAATTTTAAGTTGTAGCAAATTGTATTAGTACATATTTTGAAATATGCAAAATAATGGTTTTAACACAATTACATATAGATCATATGTGGAAGTGTAGTGTCCACCCTTGTAAAACATGAGATAAAACTATAAAATCGGAATACCCCAATCTAATTTCCCTTGCTTTTCATGGTTGTTGTTGTTTGTTCCACTTTTAGTGCCACATTTTATAATGGATACTTTTAAATTTCTTCCTTTGTTTAGTGATTGCATTAATTTCAGTGTTGTTTTTTTCTCTTACATGTGTATTCTGTGAATACTTAAAATATGTTTCTGCATTTCATTTACATTTTATGTATTGTTTATCTGTCTTGGATATACTATACCTGTGCTAACCTTTTTTTTTATATTAACCCTTTCACTGCAGGCAGGTTAAAAAGTGCATGTCATGATTTTTTACAGAGGTAATTTCAAAATTTTATTAAATAACTTTACTTTTTCTTGTATCAATGGAATTGACATCAAAACACAGTTTATAATTCAAATTTTAATATTATATATGTTTTAATTTCCTAATTTAAAAGGAAATTTAAAGAAAAAATGGTAAATATCAATTTTTGTTTCTCACATAGCACTTCCTATTGTCTTATTGTGTATAGTGGCTAACAAAATAGAAACTTGAATTTGAGATATAAGCAAACTAGAATATAAAATAAGAACCTCCCACCCCATTGATTTTATAACCATGTGCACAAATAACATATTTGTATTCTTATATGGTATACTGCTAGATTCCAAACATTCCAGAAGGATAACCAGTGCTCAAACACTTGCAATGTTTATTGGATCAGCTCCAAACCATATAATAAATGTTTTCACAGATTCAAAGTGCAATCTTATTACTCTGGAGAATTCTTATTATAAACACTGTAGGATACATAAGCTAATAAATTCCACATCATGTTCTTGGAGCAGGGGTCAAGTTGGCTTATTTCTTTGTGTGTGCTTTGTTGCTCTCGAGAGTATTGTATTACAGTGTCACATAAGCAGTCTAATGACACAAGTGGTGATTTGTTGTTTTATTTTCATCAGATTTCTACTTCAGTTGTTGATGATAAAATAAACACAGAAAATGTATCTGAAATGTTTAGCAGCTCAAGCTCTTAAGAGAAATAGTTTGAAACTTCTTGACCAATAATAAAGACAAAAGAGCATAGCTGCCCATTTTATTTCTGATTTTACAACTTTTCATTTTACTTTAATGATTTGTCTACTGGCTGAAGAATCAAATATATTGTTAGAGTAGAGGTAATGACAGATAAAATATAAAGCTTTACTGAAAAAAGTTTTCTATTTATTTAGGAGGTTTTGAAGGTTACACAAATGAAGTTTGAAAATTTTGAGACAAAGAAAAGTATTTTTAATTATAATTGAAAATTCACTCTGCACACAGACTAGTCAAAAAAAAAAAGATTTGATATATATACACAGACAAATCTTTAGTAAAAATATTTCATTAAAAAAACTGGTTTTTGTGTGCAAACAACATGTGATGTTTACTAAAAGTCTGTCATATTTTGTGAAGATACACATACTGTATTAAAAGTTATAGTATGGAAACTGTAATGAGTACAAAGTGGTTATGAGCTCGGTCAATCTGACCTATCCTATGTTGAGAGAGTTAATGCCATTTATACCCATATGAGTCATACTATGAAGTTAAAATGCTGAAAGGTTTAAAAAAACAACTTTCTTAAAAGTACATGTAATATGCTGTGATTATCTTTTGTAAAGCAGTTTCATCAGAAATTTGTATAAACAATACATGTTAAAAATCTATAAATTTGTAGGCACTGTTCTGTTGTTTTAAAAAAATGTTCCCTATATTTTTGTATATGCATTACAAGACACAGAATTATATGAATTACACTATATTTTTCCTTAACTTTATATCTACAGATAAGTGACTAATATAATTGTTAAAATGTTTATACTTTATTGTTTTGTGTGTAGGATTAACAACTGTGTTGGGGAGTTCAACCAAAAATACTTCATCCAGTTCCTTCTCTATGTAGGTATGTTTCTGTCTGTTATATGTACTTGTAAGTAAGTAATGTTATTAACTTATATTATAGGTTGTGCAAGTTGTTTCAAAGTAATTTTGTTACGAATTACAAACATACATTCTTGTTAACTGTATGATTTTTAAAGTTTCATATAATAACATAAGAATTCTACTGTGTATCTATAACTACTACAGAATAATTAGTGCATGTATTTAAACTAAAATGGAAATTGTGCCGTAGGAGAAATTAAAACTTGACCGATTAGTAGAATAGTGAACAGAATCAAATTTTAAAGAAACATAATAGACTAGGCACTTTTAGAAATTGGAAAAGCATATGAAAGTTATAAAGAGTGTATACCTATTTTTTGTAAATATTATAAATGTAGTAGATGTACTCGTTCCTTGCAACAAAAAAAAGTTGATAAATTACTTGTGTAATGACCCATAATGAAAATAATGTTGGTCAGATTCTTTTGGATTAGAAAGTCCAGTCCACTTAAAGATACAAAAATGTTTTATTTTTCTTACTACAGGGTCTACAAGTTAGCTATCTCAATCTTTTTTCTGCCCTCTGAGCATTCCTAAAAAGTTTTTGTGCTCAGCACACCAATATATATATCCCACCAATTTCACACCATTTTTGAACATGTAAATATCATGTGACTACTCTCCACCAATAGTATTGTGCCACCTATATTAGCACAACTAGCTCCTTCTGCTATTCCTGCTCATTCGTCACTTTCTTGATCGATACAGCTTAGTTTAGACACCTGTTTTTTTGTATGTGCTACCGTTAATGATTGTGCTTATTTGCCATTTCAGTTTTTTTTCAACAGTTACTGTACTTGAATGTAGTATGTGCTACCATTAATGATTATGCTTATTTGCCATTTCAGTTTTTTCAACTGTTACTGTACTTGCATGTACTCGTTTCAATGATTTTTTAGTTTTTTTTTGCATTTGTTTCTTTTTTATATGAATTTGCGATTCAATGTAGTTTTCGGTAGTTCTTGTTACAGTCAGCAACGCTACTGATATGACTTCCCTGAATCTGGTTCAACATTATCTGCAAAGACCTTAATTCGCAGGGAGCTAGATTCATATGTCCAGCTGGTAATTTCTTCTTCTTTTCAACCAAAAAATGTTGCTGAGGAAAAATACAATCAAAGAGAAGCCAATTTGGACTCTCTTTTTATGGCATCTTCTTATTTTGGTTTGTCACACACTACACCTCTTCGGAATGTTTCACTTTCCACACCTTTTTTTTTTCTACATCTGATTATTCAGGTTGACAGTCAACGCATTTTCGAGATGAGAGTGATTTTGCTACTTTTCTTTTTATTGCTCCTGTTGTTGTGCTTCCATCTTGTTCACTTTGGTGGAGGTTTGTTCTCCTCCTCTTTCTTCCTATTGCTTCCAGATCTCCCAGTGGATCAGTGGTAAGTTTTTGACTTGTACACCTCCCACCTGGTTGCAATACCTGTGGTGGGTTTGGCTCATATGCCCTTTGTGTGGCTTTATCCTTCTTTACACATGGGAGAATTAAGTATTTCACATCATCAGTGCTCTGACTTTGGTAAGTTAAATAATTGTGTGTTCTTTATTGTCTAAGTTAATTTAAATTTTTTGTCTGTTAGATATTGATTATTACATTGTTTTCTAAGTAATTTTAGTCAACTTACATGTTCATCATTATTACGTACTTTGTAGACTAGAGAAATTTCAATGTTTTGTCAGTTTGATATTAATGAGTACTTTGTCAACTTGGTATGTTTATATAGTTTGTACTTTACATATCATTCCAACTAGTAACACTTAATTCAATGTTCTATCTATGTTCTATCTCAGACAATTCCCACTCTTTCTGCCCACTGTCGGTGTTCTTCTTTTAGATCTTGCCAATTCTCAAAAGTGAGGACTAAGTGGGAATAGCATGGGGAGCTAGTTGTGCCTATATAAGGGGTACAATACATGATACTTACATGTTCAAAAATGACACAAAATTGATGGGGTGTACAAACTGGTGCACTGATAGTAAAACTTTTTTTAGCAATGCTTAAAGGGCAAAATAAAGATGAAGATAAGTTTGTGTGAGAAAAGATTAGTAACTATTGGAAATACATTTTCAGCATAAGAAAATGTTGACTTTTGTGGGAAGATGATTAGAGTTAGCTTCTGTAGAAAACAACAACAGAGTTTAGAAGTTTTGAGAAAAAAAGACATAGAACATGGAATTTTTTTACAGTTTCTTTAGATATTATTTTTATTCCTGGACATGTTCTTGTGTTCAGCTATATTTGTTTGAAATCTATGGCAATTTTCGTTTATGACAAAATATCAGACAACCCTAGTTACATTTAGAGAGTACAGAAGGTGACAGCAAAATATTTTGATGAGACAATTTTTCTTAAAGAATATTATAAGCCAAATGTGGACCAGTGGTTAGTATGCCAGACTGTGGATACAAGGTTCTATGTTCCGTGCCACATCACCACTGGAAAAATATATCATTTTCTGCACTTTGGAGCCATGTGTATGTTATAAAAGTAACAGTCAATTCCCACTATTCAGTTAGTTAGTGTTGTTGAATAGCTGCTTTTCCTCTAGTCTTTCACTTCAAAATTAGGGATGGCTGGCTCAGATAGCCCTCGAATAGCTGTGTGTGAAATTCAACATCAACAACAATGAATATTGTTGTTAAGTTGATCATATTCAAACAAAGTAGATAAGTAAAATATAAGTAATTATTTGTTGAAATAAAGCTGTATTTATTAGAAATAATTTATTTTGATCAAGAATATTATTAGCAAATTATATTGTGACAACTTAGGTCATAAGTCACCAATATATTTTTATTAGTTTTTTCCATGTTTTTACAGTTTATAGCCAGAAGTCGTAACTGGTGACTTATGCAATTGACAAAATGAAGTGTAAAAAGAAATATGTTAATATCGATAAGGTTGAAATTGATTATATACATAAAATGGTACTTTTGGATCAACAATAAAAAAATATAAGATGAAAGGAAGTATATCTAATGTTTTTTCAAAACAGTGTTTTAGATATTATTTTGAAATTGCTCAACATAAAAAAATGCTAGAAACAATTTTTTAAAGTGATAACTAGATACTAATTACTAAGTTTTTCTGAGATTCATGCAATTTAGTTAAGTATTTTCATTGTGAGAAGGAAAGAAATTGGTGGGAGACAACTATTGCAAGTATAATATCACTCTAGCAGGGTGTATACAGTTAGGGAAAAAATGCCTAAAGTTAGGGAAATTTTTTTTGTCTTTTTTATTTTTTTCATCCAGTAATCACTAACAGAAGTGTGTTGGGTATATCCTGAAAAATACAGAATTCCACCAAACTACTCTTTCTTCTTTTTAAGTTTTACGTAAATGTAACTGCATGTTAACTTACCTGTGTTATATGGAATTGCCCATTTTCAGTTACTTTCCTGTGGTGTGATACATGGCTAGAGCTTCAAAATGAAATTACTTAGTGCTCTTTTGTGAAATAAAATTTCCAGTATAATTTTTGGTTGTATTGCAGTTATTGGAACTTCTAATAGACTTTTATATACAGGTTTTATATGAGGCATAGTGCACAAGACAAGGATATTATATGACATCCTTTGTAGGATGGGACCTTGAAAAACATTTGAAAACCCTGTTTTACGTTCTGCATGATACACCTGCTAGATGATCAGATTATACAAAGATAACAGACGAGAAAGAAATTTTTTTGACTCAAAGATGATGCATATATTATTGCAAATTGCTTTTATAGTGAAATGCTCATCCGAATTTTTATTTTTTTCAATAACTATAACAATTTGAAACTAAAGGACATGAATCTAAAATGTTATTGTACTTGCACTGTGTCATCCCATCTAAGTTATAAAGCATCTACTTGTCAACAGAAATTATTTCATAGAAAATATCATTCACTATTTCAGCTAGTTAATCACCAATAAATTTTACATGAAAACAAGCCAGTAAGTGCAAAGAAGCTCTAGGACCTTTGGTTAAAAAGACCCAATATCCTACCACTAAAATGATAGGACAAATTTCATTAAAGTTTATATTAAAAAGTCAGTATAATATGAGGTCTACCATACATACTTACTGACTTTTTTACATAAAATTTAATGTTAGAAATTGCCATTTCATTGTTTATTAATAGAATTTAATATGGTTAGTAGTATCTGATCATAATATGATATTGTGAGCAGACTCTTAGTACAAAGCCTTATGGGTGAAAATTGATGGGGACAGCTTGTACTTTTGGTTAGCTCAATGGAAGAGCAGTAGCCCTGTTAGTAAGAGGTTCTCTCTTCAAGTTCTTGTTGTAAAGATTTTAATCTTAATCATCCTTCTCACCAATTTTGTTATATTACCCAGTTTCTTCATTATAATAACCATTGTTATTATACCCAGAAAGAAAATATAAATGAAGTGAACCTTGCAACTCAAGCTTGTATATTTTCTTTCTGGGTCTGTCATAAGTGTTCATACCAGCCATGCTAGTATTGATAGTTTCTGAATATCTCTGCATTCAAGACTACTTCTGTTGGTGGCATGTTTCCTTTCCACATGTTTTAAACCTTTTTAACTATTTTTCTTTTGATCTAAGTATTTTCATTCCTGCATTTTGTTTTTCTTTGTGTTTACTTATTTTCTCTTTTGAAAACATTACATAGTCAACAATGTGTTTGAGAATATTCTTCAACAAATGTAAATAATTAAAAAAATATTTAGAATTCATTATGTTCATTTTATTCTAAAAATATACTGTTGTTACCTCATTGCAATAAATATACCCTTGTTATACCTTGTTCAAGATAAACCAAGTGCATCTTCTATGGTTGAATTCAACACACTGAAGCTATACACTTATGATCCTGGAAATGGAATGACAAAATAGAATATAACTCAGTTGGAGTTGTTATTTCTCTGATCCATCTACTTGAGTCCTTATACAAGAATTTTCCAAAGTGTGGGTTGATTGCTAATGGGCTCTCAGAAGGTTTGAATTGAAGTCATTAGGTGTTCTGTTTCAAGAATAAATAAAACCAAAATTAAGAGTAACAAATATTTTAATTTCTTGCATTTGAAATTCATATGTTATGCTGTGTTGTAGCCTAAAGAGTGCATAATTATTCTCGTGATTCATGGCATGCGCACGTTTTACTGACATAACGACAGTCCAAATCCAGTATCATAAAAAGTCCATCTGCACTGTTAAAGAAATATACAGCTAAAATTCAGACTCGAAGGATGATGGTTTGCAAAAAGACTTTTAGCTCCTGAGGCAAAAGAGAATCACTGGAAATCCAAGAAACTTCTATTTGTGGATAACAGTGGAAAGAAGGATTATGGGTCTGAGTCAGAACAGCCTGATCTCCCAGATTCAGAGTTCATAGAACTGAAAAATGATTTGCTAAAAAAAACTACACGTTACAAAAGAACAACAAATTGAAATTGAAAAAAAAACAAAAAAAACATAAGGTCAGTACAACAACTCTTTATGGAGAACAGAAAGGAAACAACGACTTACAACTTCTTACTTTGGAGACATTTGCAAGATGAGGGATACTACGTCATGCAGCTTCAAAGTGAAGAGAATTTTATACAGTTCTTCTTTCTCTACACCTGCAATAGAGTATGGCAAAAGAACGAAAAAAATGCCCTACTTGATTACTCCACTAAAACTGGAAACAAAGTACAGGAGTGTGGCCTATTTGTGGACATGGAGAAAGGATACTTGGCAGTCTCCCCAGATGCTATTGTAGAGTCGGATGGTATTTTTGAAGTGCCCGCTAAAAGCTAAAGAAATTACTCCTTTACAGGCTGCACTATCAATTAAAGATTTCTGTTGTACTTTACTTGATAATACTTTGAAACTGAAAGATACACATACATATTATTACCAGGTGCAGGGTCAACTTCATATAACTGGTAAAAAATTTTTTGATTTCATTATTTAGACACCTCTCGATGTAAATATCTAACGAATCACTCGAGATAACAATATTTGGATTGAAAAGATGCTCCCTAAACTGGATCAGTTTTATTTTTCACGTGCTATTGCCAAAAATAATAGATCCAAGAATGACAAGAAGCATGGTTTTAAGAGAACCAAACTATGTTCTTGAGGCCAAAAGAAGATGGAAGTGAAGAAAAATATATATATATATATATAAACAATCTTCCAAACATTTTTATTTGAACCTTCGTTTTCATATTTGTCATGTTTTGTTTGAGATATTAAGGCATCATCAGCCTTGTGATTTCCATTTGTTATTGTGTATGCGTCTTCAAGCAAATTATATTTTTATGTATTTATATTATGAATCATCCTTTACATTAGGAATGTTTGTTGTTGTTGTTTTTTTCAAATGGAAGTATTTTTAGTGTAAATAAAAGTTAACAAAATATCTGCCTTTTTACAAAGTTACATAGTTCAACCTCACAAACAATTTGGATTTATGTTAGTTCTCCTTAAGTAATATAAAGAATATTAAAAAATACATTAGGAAAATAGTTTATAAATACTTTCAGTATTCTGAAGTTATTTCGTTTTATTATTACAAATAATATTTTATTTAAAAATAATCACATAAAATTGCAACTTTTCTGACTTTTGATCAGTTTCGAATTTGACTAGTTTTTGTGAGGTCAGCTGGGCTTTTCCTAGAAACTTATTTATTTACCATATGAAACTTCTAAATAAGAAGTATTTGTAATTGTTTCTTCCAACACTGTGCTCCCTATCTCCTGGAGCGTTCCTTTGGCTGTTACGGTAGAAATACTCGACCCCTGTTGTTATGACAGTCACGTGTCAAGTTTTACACATATATATATTTGAAATCAGGTGGAAATGCTTTTGGTATGGGACCACTTATTTTTCAGTTTACGGTCAAGAATGCAAAAAAATATTGCAAATTGCTATTTATAATGAATTATAAATGTAAAATTTTTTTTACACAATCATACAAACTATTTATATGTAAAGATGTTACATGTGCTTATAGCTTTATATTATTTATCTTCAGTTCACAAATATCTTCCAAATATTTTCACTATTGAAATCCTCACAGAAAACTAGCAAGTGGTTTTCTAAAACAGCTTATTAAGTAGTTATGAATATTCCTGCATTTTGAAATCATAGTTGTAAATATGTCTTTGGATTTTTGTCATGTTTTATGTAATTGTAATTATGTGTTGTTTGCTAAGTTTCATTAGTTCTCAAGAAGTGTAGTTTTATATATATATCTTGGCAATTGATCCATTTTAGTTCATCTATAATCGTGTTGGTTTCCAATGGCTCACTACTAATTAAGCGATGTAGTTGTAACTTGCCTCAGGCAGATTACTTGACCTGTCAGTGTGAAGAATGGAACATTTACAATTAGATCTCAGTCCGAGGGGTGATAGCTTTCCTGTAATATGTAAAATGAAACCGATATTACAAATCAGGGTGGGTGATCTCACTATGCAGACAAAGTTGGCATTTTTACATATGTAATTATATATACAATATAAAAAAAATGGTAATTTTTATTGCATGAGAACTCTATGTTTTGTAAGTGGCATGTATGAATACGGCTAAGAAGGAACTGTGAACGTAGGCTTCGTTTTCTACATAGTAACAAACTGTGTTGCATAATGGCTTACCAAGCAATACTTTTCATGCACAATGTATTTTACGCTAACTTTCTTCACTTGAAGCGTTTTGGTTATTTATTATAAGGTCCATCTCGAAATATAGGTTTATTATATTCACAACAAAATGTCTGAACAGCATTTTCTGTGCTAGTGAAGCTGTGTAGGCTCACATATCGTTGAACTAAACATCAGAAAATAATTAGAATTTTTATTTTTACTTCATTTATTTTTGGTATACTCAGTTAAGAAAATTTAGAAAATAATTCAGATCTAATACTCTAAATATAGCTTTACTATATAATATTTAATTTGCATGTGAGGTATATCTGTCATAAAGAACAATACACACTACAAAGATAAATCTATAAAACAACCCAAACTTATACTTCAGATAATACAGATCATATTGTTATGAAATCAAGAATACTAAATATTACTGAACAATTCTCTGTAGATCACTGATAAACTTGAGGATTAGCAATCTGTCTGTGTTGTTTATTAGCGGCTATCAATATTTATTGTTACTAGTTTTATGTTTCTGTGGGTGCTATGATTGGCTTGTATGCATTCTTAAATATTAGCTTGACCAATTGTTGAGAAACATTTGTAATAGCATACGTGTTCTAATAAGAAGAATTAGTTACATACATGTCATGTGAGACCTTATCCATACAATAGGGATAGTACTTGTACGTAGGCTCCGCCTTCACTCTAGATCATCGACTAATTACAATATAATGTATTAATGCGTTGATGCCATCTATTGTTGTAAATCAGTAATAGTAACTCTGAAGGTAAACATCACTTATGCGACATAATTTTAGTATCTACTGAAAGACAACACACTATAGTGGTGCAAGTGGTTAAAATGGGTGACCCTTCCAGGTGGCCTTTGGCTCTCTTTTGATGGAACAAGCATTCTAGAAAATGTATTATTTTTCTGTTATATTTCACCCAATAACAATTAAATATATCATGATAATTATTTATACAGCATCACATCTTAATACCTATGCAAATTGGGATTTTCCTTATGGGACAACACAAAATAAAGTAGTGTTTGCCCAAACGATGTGGAAACAGAACTATGACTACAATTGAGCTTGGAGAAACTGTGCATGATGAAACAAAAGTATAACTAAGCTACAGTTATTCTTTCACATCTTTAAACCAACATAACATAATTTTTATAATTTAGTAATGAAGTATGTTGTTGTATCACCATATGTTTTAATTATGAAAAGGTTATGAAGCATTATTATTATCATTACTACAATTTCTTGGGATTATTTTAATATAGAATCATAACAAAAATGATGTTTTTAGGTAATGGTTTGCATCACAAAAAATTTTTTAACCACTGCTCTATACTGTTATTAATTTAAATTCTGTAATTGATTGAATAAGCTAAAACTGTTGGATTGATTATTGTTTGTTTTAATGATTTCATTGGATATTATCTCCATCCACCAAACATGCTCGCCCTTTCAGCCGTGGGGGCATTATAATGTGACGGTCATTCCCACTATTTGTTGGTAAAAGAGTAGCCCAACAGCTGGCGGTGGGTGGTGATAATAGCTGCCTTCCCTCTAGACTTATGCTGCTAGATTAGGAACAGCTAGCACAGATAGCTCTCGTGTAGCTTTGCGCAAAATTCAAAACAAACAAACAAACATTGGATATTTATGTAACTTCTTGCACCTTTTTTGCTGTATATAAAATTGAATTTACTGAGTATTTCTAATTACCATCATCCAACTATTGGACTACTTACAACCAACTATTTAACTACATGTGCACAGAATGAATCAATATTGATTATCCATAATACATATTTCAATAAAGTTAACAAGTATTATGAATAAAATGATATATTAAATTTTTAATTTTTTTTCTGGCTAATTCACCATTAATTAAAAACAAAGTTTATACAAATCTTGTGTTTTTTCTACAACATTGATTACAAATACAGCACTTTATTAAAATCTTTTTTTTCTTCCAAAGTCACTGTTAATGAATCTTTTTATTTTTCAGCTGCTCTAAGTATCTGTATCTTTTTTTCATATCATATCAGCATTGATTATAAATAAAATAGTATATTAAACTTTTTATTTTCATATGAAGTTAATATTGATAATGAATGGAGTATTTTATCAAAATCTTTTATTTTTTGTTAAGTGATCTTTACAAGTATTTACCAATAAAGTGGTTTATTCACATTTTCCTCGAATTTACTGCCAGGTTTGGCTAGTATTTATACAGTGGCCATGGTTGCTCTTTCATGGACCAGAGAATGCAGAGATTGCAATCATGAAATCATATTTAAGCAGCATAGAGTGTAAGTTTACCTTGTGTTTATTTATTATTAATTTTTGTTTGTGAATATTTAGTGAAAATGAATTCAATTTAAAAGTTTGGCAATGTGAAAAATGTCAATTGTGCTAAACATTGAACTTTTAAATTAAATGTTTGAAAGATGTCATAAATGCACTCTGGTATGTAACAGTTGGGAAATGCTAAATTTACTATATCAGAAGTGTTTTAAGTAGCATGTATTAATAGAATAAGTGGTTTCTTAAATGCATTGTGAAGACAATAAAAAATTAGAAATGTACTTCTTAAAAAATTTGTTTTTCTAAAAAGGAACCTTTAGAATTGTGTACTCTTTTCTTGCATTGTTAGTGTTTTTTATAACTTTTCTGCAGTTGTACGGTTTCTGTATTATACTTACTTATTTTAAAATATAATGTAATAGGGGATACTAGTCAGTTTAAGTAATATACTGTGTAACTTAAAGGAATTTCTGAATTTGTATCTGGTGGTAAGTGTTTTCCATAAATGATACTTAAATAGAGAAAATGGATAAATTCTACAGCCTAATTGCTTTCTTTCATACATTTGAGAGTAATTTTATATTTTATGGTGTTTTATGTAATCTGTAACCATTTTTTTATGTTATATTATGTTTTTCTAAATAATTTCTTAAGTAAAGTTGTATATGTTGTTTGCATTTAACCATTATTGTATTTTTGAAATTTGAAAATAAATTATACATTTAATAAGTAATGTAGTTTCATATGATTTAAAAAAAATATTAATTCACTTTCTGAGAAAGAAACGGTCATTAGGAATAACCTACAGGGACAGTATACAAATATTTAAATTTTAGTCATTTTTTATTACCTTTTTTTAGTAGCTATTGGTGAAAGAACACTGGAAATATACAAAAAGTGTTTAGATTGTTGTAAAACATGTGCTTTGCATATTCACATTTTTATTCCAACTGATTAATATATATTTTTACAAATTGAGTGACTAAAAGACTTGCTCATAACATAATTTTTGTTATTTCAGAATACATTCTGTGATCCTAGTTATTGAGAGTCTTCTTTTTGGAATTTTTGTGATAGCTATCATGTGCGATCAGGTAATTGTTAAATTTTTTCACATCTTTATAAACACATCTGAATACAGTTCCAAAAATCAATGAATTATTAATTATTTGTCAGTGTTTATTTCATGTGCTCTGTTTGAAAAATCATACGTGGCTGTTTTGGTCCATTGTATGGATGCTATCCACTCTTATAAGATAGTATTCCATTTATAACTTCATATTTTTTAAGATGCTTCTGTAAAGTTGTGCAACATTGTTGCCTACTGGTAGTAGGTAAAAGTTTCTTATAGAAATACAGATTCTCAGAGAAATTCAAAATGTTGGAGACTAAACAGCCATAGAAACAAATGACAGTTCATTCTGGTGTATGCAGGTCTCTGGTTGGACGTTTATGGACATGTTAGCAGAAAGTTTTTCTCAACATAAATAAAGCCATGGAAGGTCAACTATTCCATGTAATGAACAGTGTGCACAACATAGCCATTAGGAATTGCTAGTCCACTGCCCATGCTTTCATAGACACTTTGAGAATCATTTCAACATCTAGGGTAAGGAACAGACCTTGTGCCTATAGCTTAAGGCCAAGAAGACCTACTTCGCACCTGCACAGCTTGATGAGTCGTTGTTAAAATCACTAGAATTGCAGCAATGCTACTGCATGCTTGAACTTTTCACAGTATCGTATTTACAATCTAGTAATAATTGGCAGGAATTCAGGAGATGTATGATACTCTCAGTTCAGCATCAGTGATTGCAACTCTCAGTAGTGGTATTCATAAATGCAGTTAATAAATAATAATATATAATATAATAAATGCAGTTAAAAAATAACATTTCTTTCAAGCTTTATTAATATTCAATAATAACATTCAGTTGGGATGGAATCTTGAATAAAACATAAAACCAATAATTCCTATATAATTTTCAACTATAAAACCATCACACTCTTTAGCCATTTCTAACATTTCTGTATATTTTAGAGCTGTGTCTAGTGGTTAATTATGTGCTTCTTTATCCCAAACATTTGTCTTCTATTGTATTACAAGTCATCCATAAAGTGTGAAATTTTTCTGGTCAAAACAATTTTTGGTAAGATTGCTTTATGTTCATAACTAAGCTCATGCACACATTTGTCTCTGTATACATGTGCAGAATACTTGTTGAAAGTGTGAGTACGTGCAAGTTTGGAAGGCTGTTTGTGAGTTATATCAGCTTTAAATTGTTTTTAATGCTAGTCTGAATAACAGAAATAAGTGTTGCAACTAGGGTTGTGTTCAAAGATTTGTTAGGCATCATTCAAGCAGTGTCGAAATTGTTTTTTTCCCTTGCTTATAGAAATCATTTTGACAATATTTGAATTGTACTCATTAAATGTCACTTGCATGGAAAGTTCGATATTATGATTTATGTAATACACATTACTTAAACTAAAGCTGTTGTATTAAAGAAACAAAAAACACACACATATACCACCAAAATGTTATATTTAACACTTCCTTTCATGCATTGGAGCAAACTATTATGGAGAATGACAGGGAGGTATGTTTAGTGGCTGCATTGCTTCAAATAAAATGCATAGAATGCCTAGTGTACAGAGAATTGTGATGAAACCTTAAATATATGCTAATACTAATGATTTTAATGTTGAAAAAGGAGCACCAGTAACACTACACTTCCCTTCCTCCCCCAAGGAATATGTTTAATTAATCAACATTGTTGTTAGAGAAAAAGTGACTGTTAATGTTACTCTTTTCTGTTTTGATGTTTGTTTATTATTATGTATATTGGGTATGTTTAAATGATCAACAGTTTTATGCTAAACTGACTATGACTACCTTCTTGGAATGTTGACTTAAATAAAGATGTTTTTTTTTTAATTCACATGTATTTATTTCAATTGACCACAATAGGGTGCTCTTGCAATGCAAACTTACTATATGTAACTATATGAGTATTGCACATAACATCAAATATGTGCACATAAACAACATGTATTTTTTATTTCTATTTAAAATATAAAAACATAACTATTCTGTACAACATATTTTTAAACTATATGTGGATGTTTTATTTCATTTATATGGGTTACCTGTAAAACAAAAGGGGGTTTTCAGTCAAATATAACTTGGTAGTTATGATGATGTCATCAGTAAATCATGCAAAACAATAGTATTGCAGATTGAAGCCTTCATTTGGTAATGTGTTCCAAACCTTCAAGGTCAAGATCTTCCTTTCATTACAGCCCCTGTTATGACTGGAGTCAGTTTTTTGTGCAGAAAAACATTACATAAATATCTATATAATAATTTCAATGAATTTTGATAATTTTGCAGTAATATCCTGTTAATATGTTACTTTGATATTTCATGTACCTTTAAAAATACAGTCATGAAGAAGTCATGTTTCTTGACAAATTTAATTTCCCATATTTCTTTTTTGTCTAGGCTATTAAAGTCCTTTGTGCCACTTTTGAATTTTCAATTCTAGTACTTCTTTACAGTAAAATACACATGTGCAAAACGGAGCAACATTATAACTGCATTCCTCCCCCTCCTGTTAATAACACTCTTATTTTATTACAGTTGAAGGCCATTATTTTCTAATCAAACTGTTAATGTTACTCTATTCTATTTTGGTGTTTATTTATTACTAGCTGAATTACCCATTCCCAGCACAGAGGTCTAAATTACTTGAAACTGATATTTAAAAACATGATAAATTACTTTTAAGAACATTTATTTTAAAATTCAATTTTCATAACATTTTAATTTTTATCTAAACTTATTTCTAGTAACTTGGACACCTGTGCTGGGAACTGATGTCCAAATTTCAGGATTTATTAATAGTTCTCTCTTACATTTCATTTTATATTATGTATAACCAGTAGAAAACCAAGGTTTTCATCTGTCAAATAATGTATTATATTACTTTGTTTTCTGAACAGAGAATTGTCAATTTCTCAGTTAGTACAAGCTTCAATCCCATGCAAAAGATATTGAGTAATTTGGATGACTTTGTAATGGCTCTTATCGCATAGTTAGAATGTCAGAAAATTGAGATTGTTAGACGAAATTGTCTGCTTTTTGCATGTTATTATTATATGTTCTTTTGTACATTATTTAATTAAATAAAAATTTTTTAATACATTACTACCGTCAGTATAAAAAAAATACTCGGGTAAGTACTTTATTTCTTGTTTTTCATCTTTATTCTTTATTTAATATTATAATAGTAACTAAAATGTAAAAAAGTGATCTCTTTATGTCAGTTAAGGCTAGATTAGGTAAAATAAATAAAAATGTTTGATGAGGCACACACATGAGTAGCTAGTGGGTTATGTAATTGGACAACGTAACGTGAGCTCCATGTTCCCCAAGTGATTTACAACTTATAATGGCACGAATAGTAGTTAGATATGATCCAAAGGGCAATAAAACAATAAAATTTAATTATAAATACTTGTATACTGTTACAAGTCAAAATGTACTTAGCATAAACGATTGTATTTTCATGTTACAATTTGAAGTCATTCTAAAAAAAATTTATTTTGCTTTTTCGTTTTTGGTGGTTGTGAGGTTGGTCAAATTGACCAAACCTGTATAGAGTTAGGGTGGAGAAAATAACAGATAAAATATAAAGTTTTACTGAAAACAAACTTTTGAAATGTATTTAGAGATTATACAAATGAAATTTGAGATTTTTGAGATGAAGAAAAGTATTTTTGATCTTAACATGAAAATCACTTTGCACACGGACTATTCAAAAACAAATACTCGATATCGTCATGGAGAAATCTTTTTGTAGTTTATTTAAAATACTTCACTAAAAATATTACTTTTTGTATGTTTACTTAAAGACTGCTCAATTTTGGGAAGATATACCTACTATATTAAAAGTTAGTAGTATCAAATCTATAAAGATTTGAATCGAGTACAAAGAGGTCACGTGGTCAATCAAATCAATCAAGCTCATGTTAAGAGAGTTAAAGCTTCTTGATATACACAATTAGCTGCTGCTCTTCCTTTCGACAATATAAACAGGTTGTGATGAGATCCAACTCTTGAAAATCCTACATAGAATTGACCATGTGAAAAGTAAGGCTGCTTTAGGAACAATCCAGCAATCTTTAAACTTTGACCTTGTACTTTAATTATTGACATTGCAAAACAAATTGTTACTGGGAATCAGAGCCTTCTAAATTTAAATGGGTAATCATTTGGTAGCAAAGGAATTCTTGGAATGAAGACATCTTCACCTTTGTCATGACCAGTTGCTTCATTCAATAATATGTGGCAGTAAAGTCTTGATGATTAATCTTGTGCCATTACATAATTTTGGAGGATCAAGATTTCTCAACAACATTATTGGTGAACCAACCTTTAATTTCAGAAAGTGACCTGCCATCCCTGGTGGTTCAAGAGAATTTGGGAATTCAGTTGGATAATTGATGGTGTCAACTGTAACTGGAACATTGACAGTTGAGCTACAGGTGAATTCCTGTCTGGGAACCTTTTGCAATAATTGATCATTTATGGCATGAACAGTGTCATTTCAAGGTGCAAGAATTGCTCTTTTACACAATCGTTAATAATTTTGACAACTATTAGGGAACACCTTTTCTTTTAGCTCTTCTGCATCCTTAACTAAGTTACCACAATTGTCTGGAATAGTAATGTAGTTGTTTGATTGATTGATTGGAAACTTTCCACCATTAACTTAAGAAGAAGTTTCTGAATTAAACCATTTACTTTTATATCACTGAAGATATTAAAAACAGAGAAAATAAAATAAACCACAAATTAACATGTACATTTTGCATTCAACATAAACAACAATATTGGGCTAATAACAATATTGTAATAATTTTGTTGCTAACTGATAATGTATAGTGTTGAGTATTACCAAAAGGAGAGTGAAATGAAGACAGAAACTCAATTAAAAGCCAAAAGTTAGTTTTTGTGGGAACCTGATGGAAATTTTATTCCTTCATGTT